TTTTTTTTTCTTTTTCTCTCTCTGTCGAATATGTAATTTAATTAATTAAATTTTCAAAAAACTTTCTTCGTTTTCGTTGGTTACATTATTATTATTTTTGACTGAATAAGAATTCGATGGAGCAAAAACGAAACCGAATGACATTTTTTTTGGTGGGGGGGAAATTTCGGTGAGAGAATGTCGGTAAAATGACTAGGGTGATGAAGAATATAATGAGTCGGTAGAATGGGGTTAAGTAAAAGGAAATGAGGAAAGATAAAGATTTATTTCTTAAACTAACGAACAAACGGAAAAACCAAGATAGCGAAAAGAAGAAGAATTCGGTTATTATGGACGGAATATTTATGGATTTTTTTCTTTTGGTGGGGTAGATTCTACAGAATTTTTTTTGTTCCAGAATCGTTTGATGATCAACCAAATTGATAATAATGATGATGGTGATTAAAAAATTGAAATAATGTTTTTTGGCTACAAAGTTATTGAAGTTTTTCAACAACAAAAACAAAACAAAACTTAATATCCGAACGAAAGTTTGGTTCAATCATCAAATGACAATATGAATTCTGTTTCTTTTTTTTTTTTTGATTGAAATGAATTTTTCTTTTTTTTTCTTTTTGAAATTAAATTTCTTCTTACTGTTTTTTCTCGATAAACCTTTTTTTCTTGCTTGAAAAACTTATTGAATTTAATTTTCGTTCATTTCATTCAATAAATAAAAACGTTTATCTGGAATCCTGTGTTTTTTTTTCTTCTCACAGGTTTTATACTTGAATTGTTACAACAACAGAAACATGAAAAACATTTTTTCGATAAAAATAAAAATGTTTTGTCATTTTCAATTTTGTTGTTTTGTTTTGTCATTTGGAATTTTCATCAACGAACAAATCGTCATTCGCGAGGTACATTGTGGATTCTATTTTTACTTTTTTTTTCTTCATGTTTTTTTTCGATTAGTTGGACACACACAGTGTGTGTGGAACCAGAAATAGAATTGGAAATTCCATTTCTTTGGAAACATACAAAAAAACATTTTTGTGGCAAAAAAAACCCCAGAACAAGACATAGAATAACTTAATCAATTTCGTTCAATTCAATTCAATTTTGATTATTACATTCTTTGTTTCGAGTTTTGTTTTTTTTGTCTCATGATTATTGTTTTGTTCGTTTGTTGTTGTTGTTGTCATTCTGTTGTTGTTGTTGATGAAAACATCTTATTCTGGACAAAACTGGAAAACAAAACAACAACAACAACAAATTAGAGGTTAGAATACGAAAAGGAATTTCATTCTTTCTTTTCTTTTTGGTTTTTTTTTGTTTGCGGCAGAAATTGGAAATGATTTTTTTTCTTTCTTATTTCTGGTTGCCCCCAAAACAACAACAACAACAACGAAGATGATAGCCAGAGAAAATGATAAAACATCATCATTATTATCATTATTAATTTACTGTTTGTTTGTTTGTTTGTTTGTTTTGTTCAATTTAATTTTCAATCTTTCATTAGCTAGGTCTTTCTCTCTGTTTCTCTGCTTGTTTGTCTGATTTAATTGATACAAAATTATCGGTGAAAACGAAGAAGACGACGAAGAAGATATTTTTGTGGAAACATTGGATAAAAAGTTTTTTCTGTTTGAATTTGTTTCCCAAGTCAAAAGTCAACAAATATCATCAAGTAAAAAACACATCTCTCTCTATCTTTCTTTCTCTACAATCCCGCTATTCACAAAGTTTTTTTTCTGTCTGTCTGTCTGTCTGTCTATGTTTAGTAAAGATGATAATGTTTTTTTTTATTTTTCTGGTGAAAATGTTTCATATTAATTTGATTCATTAGTTTAGTTTAGTTAGTTAGTTTAGTTTGGTTTTTCTGATCATCATTATTATTATTATCTTTATCCATACTGGATCGGAACTAACTAACTTTGATGAACAAAATGATTTTTCTCTTCTTCTCTTCTTCTTCTTCTTTGGTTTATGTTCACTTTTTATTATTATTATTATTTACTTTTCCACTTCATTTGTTAATGGGCTATCCACATACATACATACACATATACAGATCCTGTTCATTATCGAATGAATGAATGAATGAATGGAAAAATACAGTATACATTTCATTACATTACAGTACATTTTTTCCTTTCAATTTCTTTCGGTTATGAATATGATGATGATGATGATGATTTTTGATTTTTCTGTATGAAATATATCACAAATGGAAAGAAAAAGCAAAAGAAAAATCCAATAAATGATGCTACAGAAAATGAAATATAAGATTTATTATTAAAGATTTGTCATTGATTTTCAGCAATTCAATGAATATCGATACAGTTTTGGCCATCCCTGTAATAGAATATTGAATACCCAAAAAAATCCCGTTTTAATCATTAAAACCAGAAGCAATTTTTTCGTTTGTTGTTGTTTTTGGTTGAAATAAAACGCCTACCTATAATTACAAAAAAAAAACCAAACAAAATTGTTGTTATTGCAATGTCATCATCATACCTTTTTGTTTTTGTTTTCATTTTACCTGTTTAGTTTAGTTTTCCACAGCGTTTTTCGTTGTTGTCAAAAAGGCAATCATTTTTTCTTGTTAACCTCCATATATCAATGATAATTATTCATATTGAATATTTGTGGCTACATAGGGATGACTATACAGTTTTTCAATTTGATTCTTCTAACTTTGTTTTTGGATAGATTCACGTTTTCTGCTTGCTTTCTAAAAGTAAAACCTACACACATGAATAATTTGTTGTTGTTGTTGTTGTTGGCAATCAATATTTCAGTTATGGTTTTTTTTTCTAGAAAAAAAAGCCTATCCTTAAATCAGTGAAAGATTTACAAGAGGAGAGAGAAAGATTGAAAAATTTGAAAATTAAAATTGAAATTTAACATCATCATCAGTCATAATCATTTGCTTCTTCTTATGCATTTTGTAATCAATCGATTGATTCGATTTCCGGGATTTTCATTTTCATTTTTTTTTTTGGTTCTGTAATCAATCACTTTTTATTGGTAATCTTTTCAAGAAAATTTTGCTTAGAAAAAGCATCAATTTTTCGAGAAAATTTCTTCAAATCTGGCTCGAAATAATGTCACAAAAATCATTATTTGGAAAAGAATGTTTTGCGAAATTTTTTTTTTCACTGAAAAAACCGTTGTCAATATCGACCAAATATAGTAATCACACCACACACACACACACACGCTATAGCCACCCACATAATCTGAATATTTTGTTTACGAAAACGAGAAAGCAAAAAATTTCATTCCAAAAAACAAATTACGATGATGAATATTTCGAAAACAAAAAATGTTTTGCTGTTGTCAATGTCTCCCATCGACAGAAACAAAACAAAAACAGCAAAAAAATCTAAATGAAGATTCTTTCGATAATTGATCAATCAATCGATTTTTTTCGGGTTTTCCAAGTTGAAAAAAAATTCAAATTTTATCATCAACATCGAATGTTATCAGACAAAATTTTTCAAATATTTTTTTCCAATATCCACTTTGTTTGGTTGATTTCAAATCATTGATAATGGATATGTTGTTATCATTGAAATATGAATGAAATGAATGAATCGTGTTTGTTTTTGTGAATTATGATTCAGCTTTTTGTGTAGTTGTTGTTGTTGTTCATTGCTTCTACCATCATCAATGATCAATGATCATCCAATGATGATTAGTAAAATGAGACAGCAACAACAACGAAAATAACATCCAAAGTCATTCATTCATTCTCGAATATCATTCATACAGAGTTTTCGGTTGTTTTTTTATCCATTTGATAAGGATTTGCATCAATTTTTCGGCTGTGATGTGATTGTGTTTGCATTGTTTCGATTGATTTTTCTGTCATTTCAATTTGACTGTGTGTATGAAATCATCATTATTAGGATCGCCAAATTCAAAAGTTCCAAATTCAAATCGATTCCCATCATCAAATTAAATCAATAATAATAATAATAATAAACACTTTTTTTTCTTGATTAATTTTTTTGCATTTACATTTTTCATTATTTTGTTTTTTACTTCTTTTTCTTCTATTTTGTTAACCACATGAATGAATGAATGAATGAAGGATAATTATTTATTTATTATTGCAAATATTGAATATATCGATAACCTTGACGCCAACGTCATCAATATATTAGCATCAACAACAACGACGACAACAAAATTATCATCATATCCATCCTAAATAGCCATCATCATTCGTTTTTGTAAAGAGAAAAAATAAAAATAAAACCTTTTTTTAAATCGAATCGGCCAATCCAAAAAAAAAACAAAATTCAAACGAAATCAAATTTAAAATGGCTGCTTTTTTTTCTTCAATAATTTTTTCTCCAATTCTCAATGTACATTTAGACAATGATGATGATGATGATGATGATGATGATGAAGATGCGATTTATTTTATAGGATATGAAATGATATAAGATCAAAAGAACAAAACAAAACAGCAAATACCGAAAAAAAACATCAAACCAACAAACGTAAAACATCAGACATCAAACATCAAACAATCAAACAAACAAACAAACAAACAAACAAACGTATAACCGTAATGGGTCAGAATAATTTTCAAAAAATGCAAAATAGAAATTATTATTTTCATAATTATGTAATAATAATGTGATTGAATTTAAAGTGATTTTTACTGTTTCTTTTTCTTTTTAAATACAATGACCAATAATAAAAAAGATGATACATCATCAACATTGACATCAACATCGACATCAACAACCGCAACAACAACAACAACCGCAACAACATCGATGATGGCAACTGCCGAATCATCAACAGATACAACAACAACAACAACAATGTATGATGAAACTACAATTGTTGAATCATCATCATTACCATTAGAATCACAATCACAATCGATTATGATTGATGATGATAATAATAATAATGATGTTGTTGATGATGATGATGTTGATGGTGATGGTGATGGTGATTTGATTAATAATGATGCTATAGTGACCGAATCAAATGACAAAATTGTTGATAATAATCAACAACAACAACAACAATCGAATCATCAATCAGATGATTATCATAATAATTCAATGTCAAATGGTAATCATAATCATAATCAAAATCAAAATCCAAATAGTCCAGCTACAAGTTGTATGTCACAACAAAGTTCATCATCATCATCATTATCTAATTATAATGGTCATAATAATGGCCAAAATGGATTATCATCGACCACATCATCATTGAATCAACAAAATCAACAAAATCAACAAAATAATCATCAAACCGTCCATTCATTGGCAGAATATTTACAACAATTATTAAAAGATCGTCAACGTTTAGCAGCATTTCCAGGAACATTTTTACATTTAGATCGTTTAATTGATGCTGGTAAGTTTGTTTTTGTTTTTGTTTTGTTTTCTTCAAATAAAAATGATTGATTTTTGTGGTGGATATGAATGATATGAATGATTTTGATCTATTTTTAGATTCTTTTCTGGTGCACGTGATCGAACAAATCAAAATCAATTTTTTTTGTTTTGTTTGTTTTGTGCTTTGATTGACATGTCACATGTCATTTTTTTTCTCGGTTTTAAGATGAAAGTTTATTATTAAACAACAGCAACTTTATAACACACTCCGTACAAGTCAATTTAAAATTTTGAATTTTTAAAATTTTTCAAAAACAAACTTAACAATGTCAAAAATGTTCCCGGAGTATACTTGATGTTTTTTCGTTTCTTGTCAAGTGTACGTCCTACTCGTTTTTTTTTCATCAATGAAAAACTCTTGTTGTTGTTGTTGTTTGCATTCATCATTTTTTTTTTGAAAGACAAATGCGAAAACATCTTCAAAATATCTTCATTTTTTCTTCTTGTTTGATTAAGATGTGTTAGAACTACACACACACACACGTGACATACGAAGAAAAAATTAGTATAGAAAAATACAACAAGAGTTTTCAAAAGTGTGATTTGGTGTCTATTTAAACACAAAACAATAATGATAGCCATTTTTTTTGATGATGATGTTAAAATAGCCTAGATTCTATTGGAATTTTCAACAGAAAAAATCTATTTTGATTGACTAATGATAATGGATTTATAATGTCAAAAATTTCATTCAAATCAAAAATTTCTCTCCCTATACATATTTAATCCACCATAAGATTTTATCTAAAACAAACAAAAAATGATCAAACAAAAAAATTCATTCAACCATACCACGTGTGTATGCATATTTTGTTTTCCATTTTGTTTTTTGTCATTTTTTGTTTGTTTTTATGATCCCAAAAATAGAAATTTTCTAATTATTACCATATTAAGTTTTGATTTTCGTTTTTCATTTGTGTGTGTGTGTGTCCAATGTTAACGAATAATTTTTTTTTGAGTAGGAAGATGCAAAAATGACAAAATGAATGAATTTTCATTCATTTTTGCAAAACGAAAACGATTTGTTTTTGTTTTTGTTTTTGTTGACTAAATCTGGACTAAAAAAAAATGTTTGTTTTTATTTTGTTTGGTTTCATTAAAGATGCAAAAAGAAAAAAAAACACCAGAATCAAGAAAAAAAATGACATTATCATTATGAATAGATCTTGATTTGTTCACTTTGGAATATATTCTCCATTCATAATCATCATTATTTTTCTTAATAACCAAAATTTTAGGCCAGAAAAAACTTTTTAAGAGGCCCACTTAATGTGAAAATTAAAAATGTGTTAATTTTGTTTGTTTGTTTTGTTTTGTTTCGTTATAACATTGAACAAATTTTCTTTCAATGAATTTTCAAAAACAAGATTTTTCCTTCTTTTGAATGTCAGTTTTTTGTTCAAGAAAAAAATTCAAAAGAAAAAATCTTTTTCTTTTTTTTAAAAAAAAACCACACACACATGTGGGTGTTTGTTTTACGGATCGTTACAAATCACAAACAAACAAACAAACCATATATTCACCATATATTGTGACAGGAGATTTTGTAGAGAATTTAATGATGAAAATTATTTGAAATCTTTCATCAAGTTTTCTTTTTTGTTCATCATCAACATCTTTAATGTCATGTTTAAGCAAAAAGAAAAGAAAAATATGGTAGCCTCTTTATTATTAAAAAATTGAAAATTGAAATGTCATACTGATGATGATGTGAATGATTTGTGTTTGTCATCATATGTATGACATGTTATTCTGTCATTCAAACGGGAGAATAGAAAAATTTTCCCGTAAGGATTTTTTCCTGGAAATTTTTTTCCCTCATCAACAAGTGTTGTTTGTTCCAAAAAAATCAATCGATTTTCTCTACTTTATTTCATTTGATTTCCGTATTTTTTTTTAATTTTCACTTACATCATTAAGAATTTATTCTCTTACAACTTAAAAGATAGGAATTTTTGGTTAGGAAATGAGTTAAGAGGAAAAAAACGGGTTAAAAAAACACTTGAAATGAAGGAAATTCTTTAAAAGAATATTCTTTGCAATCTTTTTATGTTTTTTAATTGTACAAAAAACGAAGACGAAGGAGAAGATTACAATTTCAAACGAAAATTCATCATTATTTTCTTTTTCGGTTATTTATTTTCTTTTTCGATTTGTGTAGGTGTTTTACTTTTACTTTTACATTTTATCATTTCGAAATTTCGAGATTTTTCTTTATTGCTACCCGAGAAAAACAAAAAAAATTTGTCATCATCATTAACGAAATGTTCGTTTCGTTATTTCGGTTGAAGAAAACGTTGTTTTTTTACCGGCAGTTTTTTTGGCGGAAAATTTTCCGGAAAATAAATTTCAAGAAATTTTTCAACTGTTCACTGACAATGAAAAAAATATATTCTTTCTTTCCTTTTAAATCGGAAAAAAAACATAACGAACTGGAATTTAAATTTTAAAATTCCATAATCATCATCATCCACATTGAAGCAATTGTAGAAACAAATGAAATAAAATAAAAACTTTCAAAAAAAAAAAAAAAATTCCAAAGTTGACAGCTTGTTTCTGTTTTTCTGTTTTACCCAATTCCCCAATGATTATAATGTGATAAATGTGTATTTGATTCATGTTTGTGAAGAAACAAAAAATTCAAAAATTCAAATTTGTCTGTCTGTCTGTGTGTGCCCGAAAATGTCAACCCTTTTTTCATTTTTTTTATTGTTAAATTTTTTGAATCAAATTTATTATTCATGTCATACCACCAGCCAGCCATCCATCCATCCATCCACTCAATTATCAGCTATAAATTTGATTTTGTTCATTTTCCATTTACGAATTTCTCAATTCCGTAAACAAATTTCTGTTGTTGATTCTTGATTCTTGATTTTTTGTCTCTCTCTCTTCAGAAGCATTCTTTCAAAAGCAAAAAGAATCCAAAAGAATCAAATTATTTTATCATCAAAACAATGATAAATTATCATCATGAATAATTGATTATTAAATTGATAACATTTTAATGAAATTATTAATAGTTTTTTTTCGAGGATGGGGTTAAAATAGTCAAGAAACAAAAAAATACTGATAATGATCTCCATCATCATCATCATCATCATCATTATAAATGATGATAAAACTTAGCTTATTATTCATTAACTTATTGAAAATTTCTTCAGCAACAACGATAATTACATAATAATAACGTTAAGGATAAAGTCATTGACATTTGCTGCTACTGATATTCTGTTGTTGTTGTTTGAATCAAGATTCTGTTGTTATAAAAAAAAAGAAAGAAAACAATGATGATGAATCTGCCAAAACAAAGTTTATTGTTTCATCAATTTCACCTTTTTTCTCATTCTCTCTTCCTATTGTTACCATGATTCCGGATTCTTTATAGTTTTTTTTATCTGATTTCATCAATTTTGATAGAAATTCTTAATTACTAAGCAAAAAACAACTGAAGAATCTATTAAGTCATTTTCTTCTTCTGGAAGAAAAAAAGTGAATATGATGCAAATTTAAAGAAAAAACAGAAAGAATTCCTAACACATTCAAATCATATTTGGGATAGAAAATGAATTGAAAGTGTGTTAGTGAAAAGTTTCTTTTCTTGAAACTTTTTATGTCTGCTTCATTCATTCATTCATCGACAATCCAATTCGTAATTCATCCATCATATATAACCCTTTTTTTTACTGTTTTTTGTTTCTTCTTTGCAAGAATATTCTTTCTAATGGAATCTGTAGGAAAAAAAAGAAAATGCTTTCGTTAAAGTAAAGAGTAAAAAGCGAAAAATAAAAGATAAAAGTTTTTCAACAACAACAACAACAACAACATGATGATGTATGTTATATCTTGATATTCGTAACATTCAAATGTTAGTCATAATGGAAATTATGATGATGTGATGTTATGCGATGATGTTGACAGGAAATCAACGATTTCGGGAAAAGAATTTCCATTACCCTTTTGCTTTTTCGATTTGTGTTTTATTTTATTGATTGAATATTGTCGGTGGAGAAAAGATCAAGGTCTTGTTGTCACGAATCCATATCAAATATCATTATTGAGTTGAATTTTTTTTTTTTGTTTTTCCTGGAAAATTTTTTTACCGAAAGAAAGAAATTTTCCCGGTAAACCATGTCTCCTTCATCGGCTTACCCAAAAAAACATCATTCATAATGGATTCAAATTTCACATCATCAACTTTTTGTTTTGACCTTAATTCAGATATTTCATATTTTTTTGGTACAAAAAAAAAGTTTATGAGAAATGAAAATATGAAATGAAATGAAAAAATTTCCCGGTAAATTAAGATAACCCGATCAACACACACACACAAGCATAACTAAGGAAATGAAAGCATCAAAGTCATCATCATGATGATGATGATGACTTTTTTTTTCAAATCTGGTACTTTATCTTTTCCCGGCCAATATCATATTTCTTCTAATGATAGTTTTTTGGTTGTTTTTTCAAGAATACCGAAAAAAAAAGAAAGATTCCATAAGTAAATAAAATGTGTGTATGTTTGTGTGTGAGAAACTGCTGATCATTGAAAATTGAATTCATTTCTATTTTTGTTGTTGTTGTTGTTGGTTTGCTGGATTATGTATTTTTTAAAAAACAACAACAACAACAACAACAACAGCAAAAGAAACAATATTTTATTCGAACGAAACATAAATGAATAATAATAATATTTGGCCGGGGTCAAACCATTTTATTCGGTTGTTGTTCGGACATTCAAGCAAAAAAAAAACAAAGAGGAAAATTTTAAAGGAAAAAAAAAAGGAAAATATAAATCTTATTTCCATTATCATTTGAAGAGTAAAAGAGGAAGAGAAATGAAACAATAGCAACCATAAATATAATGATGACCTATGTTGATGATGTGAACAAAACAAAACAAAACAAAAAAAAAAACTTTATAAAATAAAGTATAAAGCCTTCTTCTTTTGTTGTTGG